AGCCTAAATGTGATCACACTCTCTAAGTGTCTTGATCACCAAAACAAAATAGCTCCTACAAAATATACCTTTGCCTTGAGCTTTTTGTTTTTCTCTTTCTTCTTTCCAAGTCGTCACCATGCCATCATCATCATCATGCTATGATCTTCATTTGCTTCACCACTTGGAGTAGTGCCACGTATCTCAGAATCACTTTGATAAACTAGGTTAGCACTTAGGGTTTCATCAATTTACCAAAACCAAACTAGAGCTTTCACCCGTGTGGTGGAACCCGCGGCGGCGGCGGAAGGGGTGAGCGAGCGTGCCGAGCTGAGAACCGAGCGGCTCGAATGCCTAAGGTAAGGGCAAATATGTAATTTCATGTCTAGGTTTTAGCTTAGGTTAACATTTCTGTATGTAAAATTTGACGGAATGGTACTTCTAGTTCACGGTGGATCCTTGTGCTATTTCACGAGGGCATAAACTTTCGGCGGTATTTTACGGAGTACGCAACCGATTTTCCCCAGATGTAAATGTCGTTCGTAACCAAAGAATTTGTCGCACTCCCAAGATGCTTTTGGGTGGGAAGCAGAATTATATACGGTCCTTCGTATGGAAATAATTAGAATGACTTAATAACTTCGTAGGCTGCTATATATATTAATTACATAGTCAGCATAATAGCTACATATGTCTCAGTATGATTTTAATATATGGTAGGACTCTAAGGGCACGTACAACGTCGTCTCTTTCCCCGTCTCTTCGTCACCGTTTTTGCGAAAAACACCCTCGTTTCACTTGGAGACGGGTGCCCCGTCGCCTCGTGAGGCGACGGCGAGGGCCCGTGCTCCGAGACCGAATCGTCGGATGAAGCAGCGTTGTAGGAGTCGTCTTCTCAACTCGACGAATGATGCGGATCCCGCGTGGGCACACGCGGAATCTGGTATTCGCGCGCGTGGCAGGATGTTGCGCGCCTCGGCCGTCGCGAGCAGCGCGGTCGAGCTCCGCCGCGCCATGGGCTCACGCGGCAACCTCCGCCGCGCCGCGAGCTGCGCGTGGCGACCTCCGCCGCGGCCGCCGCGAGCCGCGCTGCAGGCTACGCGCGACGACCTCCGCCCTGCCGCCGCGAGACGCGCGGGCCAGCTCCATCGCACCGCGGGCTGCGAACGGGCGAGCTCCGCCCCGGCAGCCGTGAACCGCTTAGGCGACCTCCGTCGCTCCGCCCTGGCCGGCGGGAGCCATGCGGGTGAGCTCCGCCCTGAGCAGGTCAGTGTCAGTCCCTGGGATTGTTTATCCTATCAGCTATTGCAACTCGAGCACCCTTCTGGCTTGTGTGGTATGGATATGTATGCTGTATTTTCTTACCACATATCTCAAAGTATAGTACATTGTTCCACGTGGATTTTTTCATTTCTTCCATCTGGCCAAAATTTTGTTGATTTAGCAGGAAGTGACGCCTGCTTACAATGGGAAAGGTCATTCGCCAACTCAGGTCTGTTGTGCTCTAGTCATCTGTCTTTGACAGAGAAAACTACAGTCCCAATCATATTAGTGCTACTTTTGCAATTTGTCTTGAACCAAATGCCCTTCAACATTGCAAGTGTTGAATGCCTCAATTTGGACATCTATATGAATATCTTCCTTGAAGTTGGAAGTTTACTGAATTGGAAGTAGACTGGGCACAAGTAGGCAGAATTGATTTCAACACAGTTTGGGCTTCGATGATTACTGCTTGCTGCTGCATCTACTTGTGTATACCACTCTGAAATTGTTTGAGTCTACACTTTGAAATTGTGACCAAGCAAGTAAATTGCTTGCTGGAGGTCGTACTTCTGTGGTGCTTGGCGTGAGGGAGAGTAAAAGGATGTGCTGCTGGACTGTTGTAGCTTGGATGCTCACGTTTCATCTGATTTGGGCAAAAAATAAAGAGCATGAGGGTGAGGTTGTAGACTGCATGTGTGTATTGAATTTTCAGTTCAGTGTGAATGTGCTACTATTTTTCTGATACTGTGAACATGTTGCTATTTTCTGAAAATTCAGTAAGTACTATTTTGGTGTTGATTCAATGTTAGTACACGTGCCTAAGTTTTCTTTTTATATATAAGCAATAGGCCGATTCACTTCATCTTGATTATAACTGGAACAACCATAATCTTGAATCTGTGACATACCTGTGTGCCATACCAACTAGTTGAAGTGGTGCATGGTTGTTTGTGACTGTCTTTTTTATTTTTTATTTTTGCACAGTTTGGTCTTTGCTTCTTTAGGGGTGATTCTATAATGTAATATGGTATGTTATTCCATCAAAGGGCAACATATTAGTATACAAAATGGTGTTCATAATTGATCCTGATTATATGCAAAGTATTAAATAACTTGCAGACGACCCCCTGTCTCTGAGTTGTACGACCTGTCCTTTCAGTTGTCTATCCGTTAGATTCGAGGCTCTTGGAGACGACCCGTCTGTGTTTGTACATGCCTTAATTCTACTTGATACAAGTCGTACTTAGATCTAAACGTTATATCTCTAGGATTTTATTTTTTATCTCTAATTACACATATTTATACTTCTTGCATTCTCCCTCGGTCCCAGCAGAGCAAACAAATGCTATTGGACGGATTTAAAGTCTTATATGCTTCTAAAATCTTCTCCGCCTCAACATCATTAACTAGTCTTTGGTGGATGATTTGGCATCATTAACTAGTCGTTCTCCCTTTTTGAAAAAGTAGGGATATGCCCCATGTATCGGAGATGCCGTGAGGACCTGTTGTGGACACGACACGTGTTTATACATAAGTATCCAACTCTTGAAAGAACTGTGATCCTCCTGAAATTATACAGTAGTTTCCTTTTTCTTTTCAACTACTGCCCTATATTCAATAATCTTACATTCTAGATACCTGTGCACGGACATATGTCGTGAATGCATGCTAGGCCCTCATGGCATCTTCGTGGATACATCTCCATTATAGATGTCAACGGGCCCCGTTCCCTGAATCCCCGCGAGGAATTCACCTATTAGGGGGACAGGGATGGTATGAATTCTACCCCTCACGGGGATTAAACGGGGCTGAAGTTATCCCCATTGGGGATCACGGGGGCGGAGATGGTATGCAGGCCCCCGTCCCCGCTCCCCACGGGGACCTGTTTTCAAAGGCCCATATACTGGCAAGGCCCAATACCTGTGATATATAAGCAATGTTACAACCCTAGCTCCTCACTTCCTCAGTCCCCAACTCGCCCTCTCGTAGCCGCCAGCCACCGCTCACGCTTCCTCCACCCTCTCTGGTCAATCCAAGCGACCACGCCGCATGGAGACAGGGCAAGGCTAGCAGGCACATGTGGGCGGCCGAGCGTGTGTGCAGATGCCTCACGTCAGCCTTTGCTACATAAATGAGCAACCAAAGGAGTGGCGGATCGCCGGGTCGCAGATCTGCAGAGCTAGGAGCAAAGACTGTAAGCATTCGGCGGCTACCCTCTATTTCTAGCTATTGGTTTATCTTCTCAGTGATATATTTTTTTATTGCCTTCCTTCTCACGTCCTAGATTGGAGCTTGTTGCGGCAAGGCATGGCCGATTGGAGCTTGTTGCGGAAGGCATCTGATGCACAGTCCGATTGATGCTTTGAAGCATGGCCGTGAGGACTTTATGGCCAGATTGGAACCCGTTGGCTGTGGATGTGTTGATTTATAAATTTGTGATGTCTTTGTATCATGGATTTCTTTGTATACCATTAACGTGAATTTGTGAATACATGAATGGTTGACATCAAGATGAACTATCATGAACTGACGCGGGTACGGGGATCCCCATGGGGACTAATTCCCCGCACGGGGAGGGGGATGGGGAGAAAGTCTCCCCCGTGACACTTGACGGGGATGGGGATGGGGAATTTTCTTCCCCACGGGGACGGGATGGGGAGGCACTCCTCGACGGGGAATTCCCCGTTGACATCAATCCCCCACCCCTTGGTACCACCTCGTATCTCTTCTCTTTTGATACCATGTGAAAATAACTGAAACCTCTTCTCTTTTGATACATGTGAAAATAACTGAAACGGCTTAAAATCCTCTCATTTATGTTTATTATCTCGTGTCTGTTCTCTTTTGATACCATGTGAAAATAACTGAAACGGCTTAAATCCTCTCATTTATGTTTATTATAGTCAACATAATTGATGTATGTCCTTGCATGACTTGACTGAATATATGACTATAAGTTCATTGAAGTACAATACAAATCATACTATTGTAAATCTATTATAATTCTAGAATTCTACTTTCTCTGTTTCAATTATAAGTCACTTTGACTTTTTATTTCATTCGTTTTGGTATGTATCTAGACATAATATTATATCTAGACGCATAAGATGTAAAAAAAAAGTCAAAGTGACTTATAATTTGAAACGGATGGAGTATTTTTTTTATCCCTAATCACACATATCTATACTACTAACATTCATTGTATATACCTGCCGGCGCACTTCAGTTTATAGTTTTGTAGCATAATTTGCGAGAAGGGGTAGACACTATCACACTAGACGCGCAGGTTGACTTTGGCCGCACTCCAAAGCTACAGAGTGCTTGCATCGCATGGACATTGGACCAGCCAGCTCTCTCGTCGATTTATCAGCAACAGGCAGCAGCAAGCTATGCGACCGACGTTGATGCGACCGCCGAGAGTTGTTAACCAACCGGCGGATCCAGCAGCCGCGAACCGCAAACGAAAGCTACTAAACGGAGCAAAAAGCCCAAGTGCAATCGTGAAGCATGGGGCAGCACGCATGCACCACCAGAATCGCCAAAGTAACGGAGCCATGCGTTGGATGCATGGATCACAGTCACAGAGATGGCCTGCAGCTGCATGCCTTGGCCCCCACCTGTCGAGCCTATGCAATGCAAGTGCATGCCTCTCGATCCCCAGTATAAATATAGCCTACCCCCGTGCTACCAATTACCAAATCATCGCAGCACAACAGAACAGGAGTTCATTTGTCAAAGGGCCTACCAAGCTAAGAGAAATGGCGTCCTCGTCTGCTCTCCGTTCCAGCGCCTCTGTCGTAGTCGCCATGGTCGTGGCAGTGGTGCTGCTCGCCGCCATGGGAGCCGAGGCCGAGACGAGGAAGTACCAGTTCGATGTAAGCTTATTGGTTTATTATTAGTTCATTCATGCAAGCCGTCAATCTTCACCACAGGTCCACAGCAAGTGGCAAGTGAACCGTGTGGTCATGTTAGTGAGTGACGTACTATGCGCATATATCTATATCTATATCTATATCTATATTTAATATTAAATAGGTAAAAAATTTCTCTCCACTACATTTTTTTCATCCGTGCCTCTCCGAACTAATTTTGTGTGAAATTTCTGTCCGTCTATGACCCTTCTATTTATTTTTATATATGAGATATGTATTAGGGCTTCTTGATATAACCTAGATAGTTAGAATCCTAAAAAAAAAAACTTCCCGAGTAACCTGAATACTAATTCTAATCCTAATCCTAATAGAAAAAATAAGAGTACAAATCTGTATTTATACACAAAAATTTCTTCCTCCATAAAATTTCTTCGTCCATCTTTACGTAACCATTTTTATGGTCGGAGTCATGAGCCGTGTTCTTCAAAGTAAATGCGTTTTTTTTTCGCTTAGAAACCTGAGAGTACAAAATAAATATAAATATGAAAAACAAAGTAAAAAAGGACAACAATATAGCCCTTCAAACCATTAGCGCTTCCTAAAGGAGGGTTCATACTTCACACCACTATTGCATTTCTAATTCAAAACAAAACCATCAATCATATTTGAACTTTCTTGAGTTGATGGATCAAACCGTAAGCTAAGATCTTGAGTGGTTTGTTATTCAGCCGGTATAAATAAATATACTCCCAAGCTATATACTTGTACCAGTGTAATTCTCATTGAGGGACACAACGATGGAAAGTCAAGATAGACCTCCTTCATAATCATCTACGAATAAACTGATCCTAACATGTCGGCCACAAACTCCTAACTGACTTATATGAAAGATTATAGAATTACTATGTGGGGAGAGACAAAAAAAAAGTATTCCATGTTCTTCTTTTTAGTAACTCTGTTTTCCTGTTGCAACGTACGTGCATGTTTACTAGTTATAACAAATCAATCTGCAATTCTGCATGCATGGCAGGTGCAAATGACGAGCGTGACGCGGCTGTGCGGCACCAAGAGCATCGTGACGGTGAACGGGCAGTACCCGGGTCCGACGCTGTTGGCGCGGGAGGGCGACCACGTGGAGGTCAACGTGGTCAACCGCTCCCCCTACAACATCAGCATCCACTGGCACGGCGTGCGGCAGCTGCTGAGCGGGTGGGCCGACGGGCCCTCGTACATCACGCAGTGCCCGATCCAGCCCGGGCAGAGCTACGTGTACCGGTTCCAGGTCGTCGGCCAGCGCGGCACGCTGTGGTGGCACGCGCACATCTCCTGGCTCCGCGCCACCGTCTACGGGCCCATCGTCATCCTGCCCCCCGCCGGCGTGCCGTACCCTTTCCCGGCGCCGGACGAGGAGGTCCCCGTCATGTTCGGCGAGTGGTGGAGGAACGACACGGAGGCGGTGATCGCGCAGGCGCTGCAGACCGGCGGCGGACCCAACGTCTCCGACGCGTACACCATTAACGGCCTCACGGGACCTCTCTACAACTGCTCCGCTCAAGGTCGTCAATGATGACCCTCTGCACAGCAGCATTGTGAGTACGTACGTGCTCTGCTTAACAATGTTCTGTACCTGATAAGAGCTGCGTGTGCTGCTTGTCGGTGATACATCAGATACGTTCAAGCTGAACGTGAAGCCCGGCAAGACGTACATGCTCCGGCTCATCAACGCCGCACTCAACGACGAGCTCTTCTTCTCCATCGCCAACCACACGCTCACCGTCGTCGACGTCGACGCGCTCTACGTCAAGCCCTTCACCGTGGACACCCTCGTCATCGCGCCGGGGCAGACCAGCAACGTCCTGCTCGCCACCAAGCCGACGTACCCCGGCGCGAGCTACTCAATGGAGGCGCGGCCGTACACCAACACGCAGGGCACGTTCGACAACACCACCGTCGCCGGCGTCCTCGAGTACGAGGACCCTTCTTCGTCCCCCTCCGCCGTCTCTTCTTCGTCTCCATCCCAGAACAACAACAACAACAACAACAACAGCCTCCCGGTCTTCGCGCCGAGCCTGCCACAGATCAACGACACCAGCTTCGTGGCCAACTACACCGCGAAGCTCCGCAGCCTGGCGAGCGCGGAGTACCCGGCCGCCGTGCCGCAGGATATCGACCGGCGGTTCTTCTTCACCGTGGGGCTCGGCACGCACCCGTGCGCCGCCGCCAACGGGACCAGCTGCCAGGGCCCCAACGGGTCCCGGTTCGCGGCGTCCATCAACAACGTCTCGTTCGTGCTGCCCGCGACGGCGCTGCTGCAGGCGCACTTCGCCGGCAGGTCCAACGGCGTCTACGCCACCGACTTCCCGGCGTTCCCGCTGACGTCGTTCAACTACACCGGCACGCCGCCGCCCAACAACACCAACGTGATGAACGGGACGAAGGTGGCCGTGCTGCCGTTCGGCGCCAGCGTGGAGCTGGTGCTGCAGGACACCAGCATCCTCGGCGCGGAGAGCCACCCGCTGCACCTGCACGGCTTCAACTTCTTCGTCGTCGGCCAGGGGTTCGGCAACTTTGACCCGGCCAACGACCCGGCCAAGTTCAACCTCGTCGACCCCGTGGAGCGCAACACCGTCGGCGTGCCCGCCGGCGGCTGGGTCGCCATCCGCTTCCGTGCGGACAACCCAGGTTTAATTATTTGCACTGGAATAATCCTAGCATTATTTCCGAGGCCCCAAGTCCTAACTCGAACGCACTACTGGCGTACGTGCAGGTGTGTGGTTCATGCATTGTCACCTGGAGGTGCACATGAGCTGGGGCCTGAAAATGGCATGGTTGGTGCTGGACGGGAGCCTGCCGAACCAGAAGCTGCCGCCTCCGCCATTGGATCTGCCTCAGTGCTAGGCCAATGTTGATTTCCTCAGTTCCACTGCATTATTTCCCGTCATCAATGCGCTGCTTCGTTTGCTCGATCAGTTGCCGTTTTGGTATTCTATATACCTCGATCGTCTTCAGCTTACGTCGCGATAATGTCTTTCCTAGTTGATGTGATTTTTTTGGCTAATGGATTATTCCTGATTGTTCAAGTGGCCATGGTTTCTGTGGCAATAGTACTATGAGAAATTGCTTCGTTCGGCGGAACTTCACTCTTACGATGAGTGCATGCTTCTTGTAATCTTTCTTGTAGCTCAAAGCTTGCCTGTAGCTTTTTGTGTCAAATTGTGTGTGTGTGTGTGTGTGTGTGTGTGTGTGTGTGTGTGTGTGTGTGCAATGTAACCTTGCGCTTGCCCCGGTGTAACTAATAAAAAGTGTAGTCATCTTTTTCACAGTTTGGCTTAAGAGACTTGACTCACGCACTACCGACCCAATCAACCTGATCCGATCTTGTAAAAAGCTCCACCCCGACCTGACCTATGCACCCTGTAGGCCTCAGGCTGTGAAAACGACAAATTCAAGCAGCTGCACAAAGCATAAGCTCACCTTATTGATGGCTACAAAGTTACTTGGCATATACTCCAAGAAACTACCCGGTATTAGCTCCAGTTAGCCCGGTTTGGCATCACGCTAACGCTACTGGAGGGAAACAGGCATAACAGAAATATGATGCACATTGATGAACCAATTATGTATATCCCCTAGATTTATAATTATTTATAAAAAATCTTCAGGCATGGTAGCTTCATTTCATCATTGCTAAGAGTAACAAATAACTTGGACAAAAAACACTCTCGCGGAGGCAACACAGATAATTCTTTTAGTTTTTCATCTGTAAGTTCCTGAAGCTATGGTTTTCCTTTGTACACATTGTGCACCTTCTAATACTGAATTAGTAACTGTGAATCCACATGATGTAACTATCAAAATGCATCCTATATATGTATAAAGAAAAGTATATTAGGGTAAGACTAAGAGACGCATTTGTACAGTGGCTGGGTGGATCAGTCCAACCGCAAAAGATTCTGTTTCTCCAGGTGATGCTTCTTTTTGTATTTAGGAACATTCGTCAGTTTAGGCTGCCAGTTGTTTCTGCAAGATAGAGAGAAAATTAGGCTGCCAGTTGCCCACCTCTGCAACAAGTCTCATGATCAAGGCGTTTCAAGGACCAAGGCATTTCAAGGACCTTGCATATATAATGTGGAGTAAAATCCAGGTATAATTGATAGAATTCCATAAGAGTTAGATAATACCTGGAGGCTGTAGAATTAAATCAGATCTAACTTGAATACTTGATTGTATGTGCAGATTCCTTGGCCAAAGTTTCCAAGCCAATCATATGCTCCTTCATTTTCTTTTCTTGCATGCTTGAAACATCTGAGTGGGAATTGGTGCATTCGGTATTCCAGGAAACAGACTTCTTCATATTATCAGGAGTATTACAATTGTCCATCCCATCTGATGAAAAATCTAGATGCTTCTTCTCAACAGTTTTCAAGATAGCCAACCTTTTTGACCTTAGTCGATATGGAGGGGAAACATCAAAACTCCCTAAAGCAGCAGATAACCCTTCGTCATCTGGAGGGCCCAAGGACAAAAATGTTGCAGTCTTGAACGAATGCGAGCTTTCTGCGGTGCACTTTTCCAAGGGAGTATGAAAACCATCACTGTTTAATATATTGGTCTTCAAATTACTATCTTGAGCATGTGATGGTTTCTCCCTTTTTCTTCGCCTTAAAATTGAAGGAGTACCTGGAAAACTTTCAGCTGCACTCTTCAATATTGATTCAACACTTAGCTGGTCTGATATTTCCCCATCCACAGGAGAGGTACTATAGCCAACGGGTGATTGGAATCCATCCCCACAGCCTTCCAATACGTGATGTGTAGAAAAAATAGGGGAATGAGAAGGGACAATATCTTCTAGCTTAGGTATCTCATAACAAAGAGAACCAAAAGAATTAGACTCATTCGGCAAGGATAATCCACAAACATTGTTGGCTGTTTTGCCTCCTGCCCTAGCTGATCCTGAATACCCCATTGTATCTGTTACACTATCAAGTATCACTGCATCCACATTGAGCGGATCTTCAGGATGATCCTCGCAAAAAAAATCTATTTCTGTGCCCTTATCATGAACAGAATCCATTTTCAGCCCTTGCATTGCTAAAGCAACAGCAGAACAATTAGCTTCTAATGCCTCACACAGAATTTCTGGTTGAGCTGTTGGCATAGAAAGAGAAAGGAAATCTGAATAGCTCTTGATATTTTTCAAATTGGAAGAATGCAGATGAGTTGTATGTTCAGAATGATCAAAAAATTCTGGGGGGTGTTTGAAATAGATATTGGGCTCCTTGTTCAAGTCAATATGGTTCCCAGAAGTTGGCAGCTTTGCATTTGCATGCTTCAAAGTATTACGAACCATATGCACAGAAACTGGTGCAGTGCTGCTGGCATTGTAGTCACCTAGCCTTTTTCTTAATGAACTATTCCAATGGTTTTTAATGGAGTTATCTGTCCTGGAGACAAGAACAAACTTACATCATAACAGGCTGAAAGTATAAGCAGTTGCTTAATTCAAAGAGATAATTTATGGTGGCGAAAGAATGCAACGAATAGAAAATTAGAAATACATTTCACTATTTTGTTGAGAGTTTCAAATCTAGCAGCAAATCACTAATAGTTTTTGGCAGTCGTGTATTACCATACTAGGAGGATGTGAGATGAAGTAAAGTTACTTTCCAACCATTTCAACTTATAAATATAATGTTTTTGGCACTACTAAGCAGAGGAGCAACGTACTGAACTGCACATCAGATACAAAGATTACAAATGTGTAACTAGATGGCTTCCCATAGACAAGGACTCAAATTCATAATCCTAAAATGAAATATAACTAAATGTTGAAAGTACTGTCCTAAAATTTAAGGTTGGCTATAAAACTGAACTGGTGATAAAAGAGACATCCGGACAATATTCCCACACCTAACATGCACATCAACAGTGGGTAAATACCAAGTAGTCATGTTCAGTAAAAGGTCCTATTATTTCATTACACAGCTGACCAACATTTCTATGGAGCTAAAACATGAAGTCTTCATGACTAGTACAATTCCTGCATTTATATAATGAATAACTGGCCTCTTAAATATAACATGCAAATATTTCAAGTAACATCAAAACCAACATATGGCTAAATCCATAAAGTAAAAAATATTTTTCTTTCTTGATGAATACGTAGGAAGCCATAATAAACAAACAAATGTTAAAGAGGATGATATTGTGAAGTAGTACCTTCCAGGAAGAAGCTTCGCAATTTCTGCCCATTTGTTCCCATGCAAACGATGAGCATCAGCAACCACACACTCCTCCTCAACAGTCCATGGCTTCTTATTTATTTGAGGATCCAAATGATTATGCCACCTAAATTATGAGTACCATCAAAAATGAAATGAGATATCTTTAGGTTCTTTATTCTGGCAAACTTGAAACTTCTTAAGAAACATGGAAAATACATGGAATCTTGCAATGTTTATAGGTATTCATATTAACTAATATCTTATATTTATTAGTCCCACAGTCTGGGAATATCAAGTCCACCAAAAGAACTTCAGAAATAAAAGACTGCCAACCATTTTATCATGTTTAATAAGAAAAGATATTTCAATTAAATTGATTAAGAAAGAAATCATACTACGTTCAGCCTTTTCTCCAACCAGAAAAAAAAAAGGTATACATGCCATTTGCATACCAATGGCGCATGATTCTGCAGCTGTGGGCAAATCACAACATCCTTTATTACCTCGATGCAACACTAGGAAATCATGGCTCCAATAGATCCCTTCACCTCATACCTAGTGTATCAAAGTTTATATGGTGCCCATGGTAAACTAAACATAAAGTCCTCTAGGGATGAGACTGCACAGGAGTGCTTCAGCATTGGAGTTTGAGAACCAAAAGACAGGAAGATTTTTATCTAGAACGTTTATTCTGATTTGTGAATAGGAGTTGGGCTGTATGTTTCTAATAGAAGCTGAGCTGGCATTCGATATTTTGTGTTCCCCGGCAGTTTTTATGTTGATGGTGAAATTTAACAAACTGCTAAGTGACTTGGCCAAATGAAACACGTCACTAAGAAATCTCAGAGAAAAAACAGATCACTCTGAATTCAAATTTAAAGGCAAAATGGAAATGCAAAATATAAATGCAGCATTCCACTAATAACTTGTTTGTATCAACACCCTTGGTACATCATTATATGAATACCTCTCTCGGCATTGTTTGCCAATGCGACCATCTAGTGACCTTGCTATAACGGACCATTTTTGGGGGCCATGCTTCTTAACCATATTGATAATGATATCATCTTCCTGTAAGGATCCAATAATAAATTATTATAATTATAAATACAAAATTTGCAAGCATTCATTTTGTAGGACTGAGATTATGAACTGGACAAACCTCTTGGGTCCAAGGACCTTTTTTAAGTTCAGGATTAAGAACTTTTTGCCATCTATGCAGGCATTGTACCGCTGTTCTATCAGGGAAAGATTGAGCTACATACAGACAACAAATCTGAAGTTAGCTTAATACATTTGTGATTTCTTTCTGCAAGGTTACAAAGAAAGGATGAAACCTACTAGGTACTCAAAGTCTAAGTAGCTCAATTTCATTGTAATGAAGTACACTTGAATGTTGAATCCCCTTCAACATGAGCTCTATCTTGAACATTTAAAACAAGAATATGGGGAGGAAACAGAAATTGAAAATAAATGGAAATGATTTGGGAATGCCTTGTAAATCCACTATGAGTCTATGATACAACACATTCTAGCGAATGTATTCTTAGAAATATGAGTGTGTGGGTGTGTGTTGTAAGGGTTCTTATCCCTTTTCCTTCTTAATATAAAGATACACAGCCCTCCTGCTTGTTCAACTAAAAAATACAACACATTCTAAACAAAGCTAAAGAGTAAAAGGA